GCCAAGTTGATCTTCGTGCGCGTCCTGCGCGACTCGCCGCACCTGCAGGCCAACACCGTCACCCACTGGGCCACCTGGCTCGGCAGCAACCTGATCCTGGGCGTCTTGGGCTTCATCATCGCCGAGGCCGTGCCCATCCTGAACTACCTGCTCGGTCTGGCCGGCTCGTTGTGTTTCGCCCCGTTCAGCTTGATCTTCCCGGCCATGCTGTGGATGTATGACTTCAAGGCCTACCGCCGGGGCAGTGGCTGGCAGAAGGCGGCCTTTGGAGCCCACGTCCTCATCGTCCTGGTCGGTCTGTTCATGGTCATTGGGGGAACGTGAGTGTTACACAACCCCGGCTGATTTTCCAGCTTTTTTTTCACCTCGGTGCGTGTTTTTGATGATGCTAATTTCCCTCTGCGCGCAGTTACGGTGTTGCTGTCTCGATCAAGGACGCCTTTGCCAGCGGCTTGATCTCCAAGGTGTTTGACTGCTCAGATAACTCGGGTACAATTTCCTGAGGCTACTCGCGTGGTATTGGTCGTACAATGACTACACAGGTAGAGAGCTTTCTGCGGGCTGGGTAAGAATAGACACAACTCGGCATACTTGAGTTATCTCTACCGGTAAAAAGCGGTTGTCTAACCACATAGACGCTGCTGTAAAGGGCATCCATCCATTTGGTGAAGCGCCGAGTCTCCCTGGTTACCACCGAGCCTCTAACGGCCGACCAACGCGATTGTGTAGCAATCTGATGACCATATCTATGGTTTTAAGTCGGGCGCCGTCACAGAAACACGAAGATTGGTGGTAAGAGGTGTCAAGACAATCTACGTGCTCGGCACATATGTACAAGACACCCAACGTACTTTGGCCAGCAACCCGACAATGACCCATCACTCAGTTGATCTCCAGCCAGTAATGCCCTGGAGCTTTTTACGCAAGAGCGTGGTCGTCCCAATCAACCAGGTCGGCATAGTTGGACTGTTCGGACAATCCTGTCCACGCCGCCACCAAAGTCGCCCAAAGTGTTGGGACCCCATACATAGCGTAGTGTGCGGGTTGCATCTGCCCCAACCCGGAAAAGGGATATTGGCAGAAAGTTATTTCGAGGACCCGTCGATGCCGCTACGTCAGGTAGAGTTCATGTCCGAAGCGTCTGCAGTGAAGACCAGTACCCAGTTGGTTAAGGACAGCTTGTACTGACAGCTGGGTCCTCACCACGAATATCATCAGCGCCTCGCTTTGATAACCCTGGCCAATGACCACGTGAGTCGCCCGCACGCAGTCAACTGCGACATCCGTTACGCGGCGGTCCGAGCAGATAGACGAGCTGGCTGTCACATTGTCCACTTTCCGAGCCCGCAGTAAGGGTCAAGCCGGGAAGGACGAATGACACGATCAGTTGCCATCCCCGAGGCTTTGCGGTGCCTGCGGTCCGTCGTCTTCGAGCAAATGCTCGAACAGAACGCGTTTGTAAGTGTTCAACGGACGGAGCGGAACCGCGACTGGAGACCTCGCATCGAACCAGTCCTGGGCCGATCGTCAATTGGCGGGCTGCTGCGCTCAATCTGCGCCAGAATATGAGAAGTTTGTCCAGTTGTCTCGGCACACCAAAGCCCCTGGAAAAGTCTGCTGCGATCGTCACAGCAGCATCGAAGATGACCCGAGGACATCGTTGAGGATTTTCAGCTTCCACTGTAAGTGCAGCTTTGACGAGTATTGCGACAGTTCCAGTATGTCCTCAGTTGAAGGACATGAAGCAATTGTGAATCGGTCCTTGTCGAGCTTGACCTGCAGCAGGGTCTCAGGCCGGTCTTCTTCTGACAAATTCCTCCAAATCGCCTCTCGTGACGACGCCGAGCACAAACTTTCTGCCGCCGTCGGTGACCACGGCGAAGTCTTGTTTGGCACCTGTCGCAAATGGTCCGATGTTCTCAAAGAACCCTTCCAGCTCGAATAATTCCGTCTCCATTGTAATGATCTGGTATTTCCTGTCTCCACCTCGCTGGAATTTCACCATGGCTTTAGAGACGGGATCTGAAGGTTGTAACTGGCCCGACTCAAACAGCTGCTTAAGCCTGGCAACTGATAGGTAGCCCAGCAGGGACCTTGTGTTGTCGGAAAGGACGGTCAGGTGAGAATAGTCGTGAGAGGAGGCTGATAGCATGGCATCAGCCAGGGACGTGTTTGGAGACGTAGACAATGCAGGAGGCAGATCGAGGTCCGCGACGGTTGCCCCACGGTACTTATCTGCCCAAGCAGATAGTTTGCTAGCATCTTCATCTTCGCTAGGAGGCAGCCCATTCGCCTGGGGAACAATTGTTGGGCCTAGAGGCACGCCCTGTTCGAGGATTGACTCAGTGTGAGCCATGGCTTGCAGAGGAAAAAGTGCGACGCAGATCGGGGAGGCTGTACGTAGAACTTCACCAGTCACTTAACCCGAGCTCATCTGGAATCTAAAGACAAAGCATGGGTAATTCGTACTGCTCTGTGTAGAATTGTACTGACATGTGGAACGTCGGAGAACGGCTGGAGAATTGCTTGCGCGACGGTCGCTATGTGCTCAACCGTACGGACGAACGCGCACGATGACGTCTCACAGTAATAGTGGGTGCCAGCAATGCGGAGAATGGGAAGCGCCAGAGGAAACGCTTTGGCTCCGGAGCTGTCACTGGAGCTCTGAGCTCAGTGGCTGGCGTTGGCCTAAACCCACTTCCCCAGGCCCGTAAACTGGCTGTCGACGATAGCATCACTGGTGCTCTGGTGCTGCTCCCATGTGGTTGCCCGCACCTGTAACTTGACTCGAACATATTTTCACCTCTCTCCTTCTCTATCATCAATTCTCCGTCGCCCCGTCCTACTATATTCATAACTCACTCGCCGCAGTCTGGCCCTGCATCGAGACTCGAGGTAATTCTCTCTTCAACGCCTAGTTTCTTCCACCAACGCAGCACCTGAGGCTCCCACAATTGCTGGCCCGGAGATAAGCTGATCAGCTTGCAGCGTCATGGTCGGACTCTTCCCCAACACCACGGCCTTGTGCCAGGCTTTCACGCCTACCTCACCATACTACAAGCCAGCACCCAAACCCGCTGAGAAGCCTGAGAGGCGCCGATACTTCTCCTCATGGAGTGCTGCGGACACGGCCAAAGGGAAAGCCATTGAATTGACCGAGGCAGCACAGAAAGAATACGAAAAAGCGAGCGCGAAGGCTCAAGCTAAAGCTGGCGGCATTGAGCTCTACTCGGCCAAATACTACGCAGCATGTACTGTTGGAGGTATTCTGGCGTGTGTATGTTGCAACACACCTGTCCGTCGCCCTGGCGCAGCTAATCTTGATGCAGGGTACGACCCATGCCGCAGTCACTCCTCTCGATCTTGTCAAATGCCGTCGACAGGTCGATTCCAAGCTTTACAAGGGCAACTTTCAGGCCTGGGGTACTATCGCACGGACCGAAGGCTTCCGTGGCATCTTCACTGGTTTTGGCCCAACCTTTATTGGTTACTCGGTGCAGGGCGCCGGCAAATACGGCTTCTACGAATACTTCAAGCACCTTTACACCGAGCTCGCTGGCGAGGAGAATGCCAAACAGTACAAAACCATCCTCTACCTGTCTGCCTCTGCGTCGGCCGAATTCATTGCCGATGTCGGTCTCTGCCCGTTTGAAGCTGTCAAGGTCCGCATGCAGACCACTATGCCACCCGCATTCTCCGGGACATTCCAAGGGATTTCTTCAATCACCGCTAAAGAGGGATGGGGCGGGTCAGTGTAATCTACAATCCCATCATTGCGTAATGCTGACAGTCACAGTTTATACAAAGGCCTCTACCCTCTGTGGGGCAGACAGATCCCCTATACTATGATGAAATTCGCGTCTTTTGAGAACATCGTTGCGGCCATCTACAACTACCTTCCGGGGACCAAGGCAGATTACTCCAAGGGCGCTCAGACCGGTGTGGCCTTCGTTGGTGGTTATCTCGCTGGTATTCTCTGTGCTATTGTTTCGCATCCCGCCGATGTCATGGTCAGCAAACTCAATGCCGAACGCGCTCCAGGTGAGAGCTTCGGTGGCGCCATGAGTCGAATCTATTCCAAGATTGGGTTCTCTGGTCTCTGGAACGGTCTCCCAGTGAGAATTGTGAGTCTGAAATACCTGCTCCAAGCTCGCACGTGTATGCTAATCACTCGGGGTCTCTAGGTCATGATCGGAACATTGACCGGATTGCAATGGATGATATACGACTCGTTCAAGATTTTCATGGGTCTGCCTACGACCGGCGGCGCGGAGGAAAAGAAGGAGACTGCCAAAGCGTGACGCGGCTAAAAGAGTGTTGCGTGGACCAGACATATCCACGGACTTGCCGGCGTTCAACGATACTGTACATGAACTGGAGGCACTGGCTTCAGAATTCAATTTGTAGCTCACTCAGCACCATGGAGCAGCCTCATCTTTCAACTCGTTTATAACAAGGTCGGTCGCCATGAGCGATTGTGTTCACCTCGCGCTCCCCCCCTGGTGAGCTCGGCAAAGGAGTGCCGCAAGCAGCGATGGCGATTGGCCAGCGATAGCACAAGGCTGGGCATGCGGGTTTATCAAGGCTTGGCGTACGTCAATGCGCGATCGAATCAATCAGAGGACGTCATGCTGAGCGAAGTCGCGAAATCAGTGGAAGAACGGGCAAAGTCACACCATCGCCATGCTTTGAATTGCGGTTTGTCACTCAACACTGTCATGGCGTTTCTTGGATAGGCTTCATTTCATCCCATATCAACACCCACCCCCTGCTATATTTGTAAACATCTTTGGTTTCCTCTTCAAAAATCTCATCCCATCTACTACCGAAGTATTGCGAAACAGTCCGACAGTCACACACAGTGATCTCTACGGCGTACTCGTACGCGATTGCAACATCACAGTAGTAAGCTATGCCCCACACCTTCCATCTTGTACTCAGCCTTGCCTTGGCTGCGCCGCCTGCTCCAATGTCGGTCACATTGTACACAATTCTCCGGAATGCACCTGCATGAAGTGTCTGCCGAAATCGCGGAGCTGCTCCAACTGACTCAACATGTCGCAGGACCAGACATGGCCAACGTCTCACACGGTCGCGGCGGTAGATCAACCTCTTGTTGATACTGTAGCACGGATGCACTGACGTTACTCAGGTGCTGCAAACATCAAACCCGATACCCAGACCTACGTCGACGGCGAAATTGTCCGGGAAGGACCAGTTGGCAACCAGGGCGACGGTCCGTACTCGGCCGGCCGCGGTGGCGCAGGAAACATCGACCACCAAGGAAGCAAAGCACATACGGCTCCAGCGGACGCCGATATCATCCCAGAGACAGCCACTCGAATCGCTAAGGAGGAATCTCATCATGTCGGACGAGGGGGTGCCGGGAACGAGCTGCATGTGCACGATAAGAAGACTGGCTTCATGGATAAGCTGAAGGGTCTCTTCGGATCCTCTCCGGCTAAGAAATGAATGATGGTCAATGGGTGGATGAACTGAGCTGGCGTCAACACCCGGCCTGGAGACAGTGGCGCAATTGAATGGACGATACCCCAATGCTAGATCATATTCTTGGAAAGCGGAAGAGCTCTACTGAGGAGCAGCGCATGGAGAGGACTTAGCTGTTATTAATGAGGATGGACGATGCCTAATAGCACCCTGAATGACTTGCACAGGCTTAAAGATCACCCATGCAGAAGGTATTATGGAACGTGGTGAGCGACCGCACCATGGATTGCATCCACAGATTGGGTTGCGGCCCCTCGGGACCAGGCCGAAAACCATCGCCGAAAGCATCGAAGAAAACGTGATACTTATAACAAAAGACTGAAACTTAGAACAGTGGAGTTTTTATTTCTGGGAGCTCAAGCTTGAACTCAGAATCCCTGTTGCCATGCTCCAATGCCATGGTAAGGCCAGCCTACTCTCTGTGATTAAGCTGATCCTGACGGAGCAATTATTGGGGTGAGAAATGGAGTCTAGAATGAAGTTGGGAGTGACAGCGGGGAGTCTGGGCTTCGTCGCATTTGTTTATCCAATGGAGCCTGACTCGCAACTCACTTTCAAAACGACTGCGCACTTTCTTCATCACAACTCCGTGCTTCTGATGCCCTGCTGCTGTGCTTTTACCTTCCTTTGGTCCTTCCTTTGTCCTGCACTGCTCCTCCCTCCGGACGACCTCGCCATCACGCCTTGAGACTACAACATCGGAGTTGCGGCGCGGTCATCGCGCACCGCGTCCTTCACCATCACGCGCAGTGCAATCACCCCTATCTCGGATGGACTCAACAGTCCTATCGACAGATTCCTGCTCCTCTACGGTCATATCACAAGAAAACACATCCGAGACATCTTCATTACCCTCTCAAATGGCTGGGCGTAAACGCAAAGCGAGCGAAATAGATGACGGGACGTCAGATCGACGGTGTAGCATAAAATCTTCTCCCAGCAACAAACCCCCGATGAACCACCATTCTCCCCAGCCCTCAAAGAAGGAAGACGCTTCAGAGGCCGACGAACTCCAAGAGACTATTGAGACAGAAGCAAGCGCAGATACAAGCATCACGGTCGACTGTCCCGTCTGGCCGAAGTCAAAGCGGTACCTTGCCAGGTTGAAACGAGAAGATCTATATACCGGACACGACGCCCCTTCGCTGCCGGGCACGCGTCGGCTCGAGATTGACTACGCAGTCAAGCCCGGCAGCTTCTGGTTGAAACTACGCCAGTACAAAAACGCGAGGTGTGAGTTTGGTGGTCACCGTATTAAAGCCTGTCTAACCAAGCCTCACAACTAGTTAAGGATCCAGTCGACGTAACCTATTCCGCTGGCGACATCGTCTACGTCAACCGTCGCCTCCCTGTACCAGCGCCACTCTCTACCGACGCGTCGACGGACGAAAGACTTGCGTACGACAAGGAAAACCTTTGGGTAGGACAAATCGCCGAGTTCCGCGCCGCTTCCACCAACAAAGTCTTTGTGAGAGTGTTCTGGCTCTATTGGCCGGATGAACTACCGATGCATCGACAACCTTACCACGGGAATCGAGAACTGGTGATGAGCAACCACGTCGACATCATTGAGGCGCAGACAATCGCATGTCACGCGGATATCAGCTACTGGGATGAATACGACGATTCTAACAAGACGGTGCTTGATGAGCGATACTGGCGGCAAACGTACGACGTGACCAAGATGCTGACCGCCCCGCATCTTGCGCTGAGCAAGCTACGGAAGTTCTGCATCTGTGGAGGCTATGACAATCCTGGAATCGACATGTTCCAGTGCCATATGACTGGCTGCGGGATGTGGAATCATGAACAGTGCTTGATAGCAGATATTGAGGAGAGGGCCTGGGAGAAGTTCAAGGCTGGCCTACTCGGCCACGAAACGCAGGAGACGGAGGAACACAAGACTTTCGGTCAGAAAGTCGTAGAAAAGGTTGGCCATCTTGTGGGAAAGGGTATCGGTGTCTCCGAGGTCCAGGACGAGGCGCACTTGGACAGGATCCCGAGCAGCAGCAGCAAGCACGCTAAGCTGGTACCTGGTCATAAGAAGCCTTGGGCTGGCAAATTGGAAGCCAGGATCACGAAGGTGCGGAAGGCGGAAGACGAGACCACCCATCATGCCACTGTCCGACAGCTCGTGCCCACGGCGAACACCAAAGCGAAGCCTTCCTTCGAACCAAAGATATGGAACATGGAAATGAAGTGCCTCAGGTGCCACCACTCCCTAAATTAGAGGAACAAGGGATAAAGCGGCTATGGTGCAGTTCTGAATTTCTTGAGCGGCTTGATTTCTCCTTTGAATTTATCAGGTGAAGCGTGTACATCAACTCCTCGACATGGCATGCTACATTGCGTCGGCGTTGCGCAGTATTCGAACGGCTGGCTTCGTTCTTGCGCGCGGTGTTGTTTGCATCGCAGGTCCATGTGGTTAGATATTTACTGTAAATTAAGTTGCATCTCCGCCATGACGAGTTGCAAAGCCCATAAGACTATGACTACTCGGAACCTCGCACCATGACCTGGAACCCTTCCAATGCTTAGGTACCCCGTGCGGAGCAAAGCCGCTTACCCTGTGGGAATCCGTACCTACCTACCGTGCAGGGACTGGGTAGGTGGATTCAGTTTGCAGGGACCCGCTCGGGGCTGTTCTGAGCCGGAACCGTAGTTCCACGGTCCTTCAGTCAAGCTTGGATCATCTCCTGTACACATCAACTCCGTACTGCACAACAGTTGTTTCCTCTGTCGCTGGCTCGGGGTTGTATTAGTCACAATGGCAGTGCAAGAGCACTCCAAAAAATAGGACCTTCTCTGCCCCGGCCTCTTGACCATGTCCACAGACCACACTATAGAGCTTCTACGAACAACCATTAATTACTCCGGATTGATTTCGTCTCTGGGGAACAGTACGACCGTCTGCCCAAGGCGCCAAGATCAGACTGGGCTATCGTACTCGTACACGATGGTCCACCGCCTCCCCCCATTTTCTGGAATAATCGGGTCTTCGGCAGTTGTATGTACGATGATTTGCTGGAAGAGCTAGAGTCTTCAGGCCCTCACATTCCGTTCACCTACTTTCGACCAGGATGTCAAGCACTCACGCGTTCTCCGTACGAGGTCTACGGTTACAGGTCGAGCCGCTCGTCCAGGGCGTCATCGATTCCTTACTGGCCATCGAAAATATGGCCACCAAGGCTAACTGTCGTAGTCGGCTCTTGCTTGCCATCCGAACCGATTCCATACAGATCATGTCGCCATTTTACGGAGTCCTCTGCCAGTTGAGTTTCCAGCAGGCGTCTGCTAAGTGACTAATTTAACCACGTTACTGTTTGCGATGCATTCCTCATCAACTTCGTTTGTGATATTTTCAGCTCGCTTCTCAGGCCTTGTTGTTGCTCCTCTATTGATTTGACGACGCGCAGCATTTAGTAACTGGGGCATCGACGGTTCACTCACACTCGCGCCTTTCGGATAAGACCCTGGTTCATCGAACCTGGACTGAACAGAACTTCGTACGAGACAATAGACCTACACAGACGCCGGCAACACTTGTTCTCTGGGTCTCAAACCAACGTCACCATTAACCTTTCTGATCTCATCACATCTTCTCGCGAGGAAACGCGGTTGTGAAATTCTTACCTCTCGCCCCATGGCTTCACAGGCCGAGCACAAACTCGAGCACGCGGCGGAAGACCTCGAACCCTCAGGTGCCGCACCACTGGTCTCAACACAGCGTCCAGCGGCCGATGCTGAACTTTCATCGCCGTCCAGCGCCAACGCCTCAGAGAAATTCCCCGACCATGACAATGACGTCGACACACGCTCGCCAGTCGATAGCGAACCGCCATTGGAGCAGACGACAACGAAGCCCAACTTGGCCCGGACACAGTCGCGGGCCTCGGAATTCTCAAAGGCCAGGACTGCAGTGATCATATTTTCCCTGTGCATGGCATTGTTCCTGGCTGCTCTAGATGTCACCATCATCACCACGGCTTTACCGACCATTGCTCAGCACTTCCACATCAATGCTGCGGATTACACCTGGGTCGGAAGCTCATATCTCCTTGCCAACGCTGCCAGCGTGCCGCTATGGGGCAAGCTGTCCGATATCTGGGGACGGAAACCAATCATCATGCTCGCCAACGCCGTCTTCATGGCCGGCAGTCTCGTCGCGGCACTCGCCAATTCAATTGGCCTGTTGATTGGTGGCAGAGTCATCCAGGGAGTCGGTGGAGGCGGTCTTGTCACGCTCGTCTACATCTGTATCGGGGACTTGTTCAGCATGCGCGAGCGACCGAAGTACTACGGCATCCTGGGCATGGTGTGGGCCATAGCCTCTGGCGTCGGACCTATTATCGGCGGTGCATTCACAGAGGAAGTCTCTTGGCGGTGGTGTTTCTACATCAACTTGCCCCTGGACGGCCTGTCTTTGGTTCTTCTCACCTTCTTCCTGAAGTTGGAGACACCCAAGACACCCTTCCTCGCAGGCGTCAAGGCGATCGATTGGATAGGCGTGGTCACCATTGTGGGCGGCGTGGTCATGTTCCTTTTTGGCATGACCTCTGGCGGAACAACACATCCCTGGGACAGTGCATTTACACTCTGTCTGATTATCTTCGGTGTCCTCACCATCGTCCTCTTCTTCCTCAACGAATGGAAGTTGGCGAAATACCCGGTCATACCTCTGCGCTTGTTCAAGAACGTTTCGAACCTGGCATCCCTCGGCGTGTGCTTCATCCACGGCTTCGTTTTCATTGCAGGAAGTTACTACCTTCCCTTCTACTTTCAAACGGTCCTTGGCGCGAGTCCCTTGCTCTCCGGCGTCTATCTTCTCACGATGGTCTTGACCCTCTCCTTCGTCTCGACGGCGACGGGTCTCTACATCAAGAAAACGGGCCGTTTCCGCGACCCCATCTGGCTCGGCCTCGTTCTCATGACGCTAGGCTACGGCCTCTTCATCGACCTGCCAGATCACCCGCAGTGGTCGAAAATCATCATCTACCAGATCATCGCAGGCATTGGCGTCGGCCCAAATTTCCAATCCCCGTTGATTGCACTGCAAGCGCACATCAAGGGACATGACATGGCTGTCGCGACCGCGACCTTTGGGTTCGTGCGAAACCTGTCAACGTCGATCTCTGTGGTCTTGGGAGGCGTCGTGTTCACCAACGAGCTGAAGAACAAATACTCCGACCTCGCTCCCGTGCTAGGTGATGAGCGTGCCCGCCTGCTCACCTCCTCCTCCTTCGGGACGACCACCGGGATGATCCGCTCGCTCTCGGGCCCTGCGCGACGCGCGGTGGACGTCGCGTACACGAGCTCGCTTCAGAAGATGTGGATCTTCTACACGGCGTTCGCGGCCTTTGGGATCATCGTTTCGCTCTTCATCAGCAAGACTGAGCTGAGCAGGGTGCATGAGAAGGCGAGAACGGGGATTGAAGAACAAGAACGCGTCAGGCAGGAGGTCCTGGCGGAGAGAGAGGCGAGACGGAGTCGCAAGGGGACGTTGGAGACGGACCCTGAAAAGGGGACGCCAACGGTGGGGAGTCCCATAGCTGGACATTCTGCGCCTTCAAGTCCGGTGCGGTAAACGGGACAACGAAGTGGGAGGAAAAATAGGCTGCTTTGGTACTGTGCTGTAATCTTGCATACGAGCGAACTCTGCATGTGAACGGGGAATTTGGCGAATGCATAGATCCGCACTGCAACGGCCATGTTGATCGCGATGGGATTGGCATATCAAAGCGAGTTTGTTCAGTATATAAGAAGGATAGAAAATTCCAAAAGCTGAAACGCTACCGAAGTGATTTGCCGCAGCTAGAAGCTGAAGGACCATAGGCTCGGGTTGTGACGATACACCCTCCTCTTCGCTTTTCTATTCTCCATACCTAGCGAGGAACGAGATCCAATACAGCACGATGCGTATGTCATGCTGGCCACTCGTCTCCTGGCATGAAGCAAGCAGCGAGGCCAGGAAGGCAGTGATGCCCGGTGAGCAATGACACGGTTCACTAACACAAGGGGGGACCAGAAGCGGTGAATGCAAGGACCCTCCCAAGGGATTTGCCCTGAGAAATGATCATATCTCTTATCTCTATCTTTTTCTCGCTCTTCCTCCCAACCCTTCTCCTCGGTCTTCGATCCTGATTTCAATCTCAGCTCGTGTGCTCTTACGCACTCTTGTAGGAGGTGCGCATGAATCTTCTTGTCACGCCCCACCAGACAATTCTCCTAGCCGGAGAGGATGAAATCGTCACGGTTTGTGCTGCTTCTGATCCCGTGTCTATCATAACTGCCTAGTAGCTCGGATGATCGGCCTCTGTCCCAGGACCGGGTTCCCTTCCGAGAGGGCTCGGGAAAGGGATGCGGCCTTGTCTTCCCACGCCGTGTCTTTGTCTGGGGTGCTGAGGAATGGTGGCCCCTCCTCATCCTCGTCGAGCCTGTGGAAAGGAAACAGGGTGTTGCCTGACTGCCTAGTTGCAGTGGGCGACGAGGCGAGGGGACTTGGAGCTGTGACCTTTTGCTTCTCAGTGTTCAATTGGTACGGGCATGTTAGGCGACTTGCGCTGCTGGGCTGACGTGTCGAGCGTTCGTGATGGTGATCTGGATTTGTATGGAGAGACTCGTAGGCCCGATCAAGCCTACACGGTATAGTGGTGGTTTGAATGTTGGGTGTCACAACACACCTTCCGCCACTGGGTTAGGTCGACCTTTCGGAAACCCCTACGCTGTATGTCGATGATAGAGCATGGCGTCTCGACAATCCTGAAGGGAACATGTACCGTGGCGTTGTCGCTTCCTCACCTCCTGTCCCGGTCCCGCTTGTTCCTCCACCGTCCGCCCTTGGCACCTCGGCCTCCCTTCCACCCGAATTCCTTCCTCTGATCGTCCTCTCTCTTCTCCAGGTCCGCCACCCGGTCCCTTCTCCTCCCGTCTTCGTCCTTCTCCTTGTCTCCCGCGGCTCCTCCCGCTGTTGCGACACTCTTCAGGTGAACCCCATGTTTGCAGTCCCTGCCGTCGGGACAAAAGCCCGCGAGGTAGAACTCACAGAGTTTCCTCCTGACATGGCGATTGGGGCACTTTGGTCCCTTCTCGCAAAACCCCTTGTTGTAGTCTTCGCACATGGGCAGCTTCGAGCCCTCCTTGACGTGCACGTAGAGGCACTCGTCCCCATTCTGACAGTACCCGTTCTGATTGTAGAACTGGCACTCGCTCATCTTCCGCAGGTTGTACTCGTGGAGATAGTCGCACGCGTCGGCCTTTTTACACAAGCCCTTGAGCCAATGCTTACATACGTAGTTGTCATTTTGGTGGTGGCGGCCGAAGTGATGGTGTTGGGAGGGTTGCTGGGCTGGCGTGGGATGGCGGTCGGGGCAGCGCCGGCCGCGCGGGCAGTGCCCCGTTGAAGCAAAGTCGGCGCATACGGGGACCGTGGAGGCGAGAGCTGCGAGGTTGTTGGCGCGGAGGAAGGGCGTGAAGCTGAACGTGTAGGTTGGAGGTGGTGTGTTGGTCGAGGGGAGCGCGGCTTGGGAGGAGGCTACGGAAGCCATTCTTGAGGTCAGTCGTTGTTATGTGCGAGAACCGGAAGGACTCCAGTCATGCGAGAGGAAGACCTTATGCTGCGTGACGTTCGTTGACCACGCTGAGACCAGAAAGGAGTAATATTTGTCTTCAATAGAGCGTGAGGTCTGTCGCGTCGGTAATCGTAATGGTAACTTCTGGCAGCCTCGCGGTGACGCCGAGGTTATGCCGACAACAGATTAGGTCTAGCGTGGCCTTGCCGGATCTGCTCCACCAAGTTTCACTTTCCTCTCTCACCACCTTACTTTCCCCGGAAATCGGCCATCCAGCTCAAAGCCATTATTGGCAAATTCCACAGGCTTGTCGTTATTCTGGGTGTATAGCGAGGGCACGGTGATCAAACAGAGATGTACTCCTCCCAGCATTCACTTCCGATCCAAGCTCAAGAAGGCAATTGTGGTCGAGACGGAAAACATATCCTAATTCGACACTCTTCTCAACTGGTCGGAATGGCCCGGCTTCTCTATCCACAGCTTATGGCGATCTAGCTGGTCTGTGTTCTCTTCCGATGAGATATCCAGCTTCCGAAATGTCCCTTCATGATTGACGGAGAAAGCTCGTCGCCCATCCGCATCTGCGGGGCTGATTTGACTTACTCCAATGCCTCTTCCCCTCCTGTTCCACGTCATTTTCTTAGAGCGAAGCGACAGATCTCGAGAAACATTTTCCAATATCTCCCCCTGGTCTTCCTTCTCGTTTCCATACCCATCCAGCCCATTCTTGCATCTCGACTTGCAATATGTCCGTGAACACTCAAGCAACCATTGCCAGCTTTGGCGGGAAGCTGCTCAAACTCGCCCACAATTCCTCCACTCTGGGTTGCGAGAGCAAGTTCAACCTCTTCCTGCCGCCGCAGTCTCAGAACAGCAAGGTCCCTCTGCTGATCTACCTCTCCGGCCTCACATGTACTGGTGACAACTGCTCAGAAAAGGGTTTTTTCCAGCATGGCGCAAGCAAGAGAGGCATTGCGGTTTTGTATCCGGACACCAGCCCAAGTGAGTGAGCGAGGATTGATACATTGGATACTGGCCTGACATGTTACAGGGGGCATTGGCATCCAGGGCGAGGACGACTCCTACGATTTCGGCACCGGTGCTGGATTCTACGTCGACGCCACTGCCGAGCCATGGTCAAAGAACTACAGGATGTACTCCTACATAACTGAGGAATTGCCTAAGACCGTCTTCGACGCCTTCAAAGATCAAATCGACTCGAGCAAGGTCAGCATCACTGGCCACAGTATGGGCGGTCATGGAGCTCTGTCACTCTTCCTGAAGAACCCGGGGAAATACAAGAGTGTCAGTGCGTTTGCGCCCATCTCAAATCCCCTGAAGGCTCCCTGGGGTGAGAAAGCATTCAAGGGTTATTTCGGTGAACAGGACTGGCAAAAGAAGGGTGCAGAGCATGACTCGACAGAACTGTTGAAGAAATGGAAAGGTGGCGACTTGGATATCCTGATCGACGTGGTTGGTTTCCTCCCTCCCTTGCGTTTATATGTGATGCTGACTATCTCAGGGCACGGGTGACAACTTCTACAAACAAGGCCAGCTGCTCCCTGAGAATTTCATTGCAGCTGCCAAGGAAATCGGCCAGGAAAAGGGAGTCAATGTTCGGTTCCAGCCTGACTACGACCACAGCTACTACACAATGGCTACTTTTGCGGATGATCACGTTGACCATGCCGCGAAGTACTTGTTTGCATAGTACGTGTATTGAAATCTCTTTCAATAGAGGCTGACAGGGATAGAAGCGGGAACAAAAAAGTCCAGAAGCTCTGAATCAAGCAGTTCATTCACTGTGAATCGACTCATGCCTTTCAATACCCCCCGTGTAGTGAATGCTTTGCTTGTTCATACTCCCTTTGTCCTTTGTCTTATTGGTTTTTATACTCTGCGTCTACGGCGTCTTGCTCTATCCCAAATTATCGGCTGCAGCTGTCCTCCAAGAACCCAGCTCTCCCTTCTGCTTCAAGCCCCTGATCCGCCAGGTCTCTCACACCCACAATGTCTCTGAACTACGGCTACCTCTTCTCAACAAAACTGGTCGCCGACGACTTCGGCAAGTACGATAACTTCGTCCAAGACAAGAAGGTCTTCGAGTCTATTCCCAATGTCAACGTTTCAAGGTCGATGGTCTTTGAGATGGCACATGTTGATGTCCCTGAGGTACATTCCCTCCATCCGTCTGAGGCAACAACACGACTAATGCTGCCTGCTTCATGTACCAGATACTCCCCATCTACAAGCGCGACCCCCTGCCAAAGACATGGATAACCTAGCAGAAGCTAGGCACGACAAGACAGGACAACAGAGCTGAGCGGCACAGAGCAGATACTTGGAAGCACTCCAGCTGGATTGAGAAGTTCGATCAAACCTGGCGGCGATTACCGTGAACAATGACATTTTAGATTCCAATACCACAACGCGTCTATACCACTGTTTGCTTCACTATTGCCGTCGCAGTTCCTTTATTTGTCTGTCTCAACAAAAAGCTTGCCTGATATGGGAGCTGTCCGCCGGCAATAACCAACACTGTTTACCAAACACCCGCGTGGTATATATCAAGCATTACGCTCACCGTCTCTCAAGTATCCGCCAGATGTACCACAAATCTATATCACGCCTGGATCCAAAGGTCCTGGTAGGCTCTGGATCTGGGCAGGAAGGACGTTGGAGCAGACGACACTGCGATTCACTGTCTATGGCAGACTTTGTCCTCTCGTCAAAATGGCCGATCATGGGCCCTCAGCCTCGTCCCTTTCGCGCTCTGCACAGTCGCTGCCTTCAGCAACAGATTGTCTGGCTTCACCGCTTGGCGTGAATGGTCTGCGCACATACACAAAATGTCCAGTCTACCACTGCGCTTCATCCCAGTGACGACAACATTCATAGACACTACTCTCGAGGCAGATTTCCTCACGGACGCCATCGCCGACATCATCGCTTCTCAACCTGAGATCTCCTACGTGGGACTAAATATGCCTGTCGACAACAAAGGGGAACCCTTCGAATATATCTCTATCACGACCCTACACGCGACCTCTGAAGCCATCGTCCAGCTACTGAGCCGACCGTATGGCTTCAACCGCCGTCTGGTCTACCCAATGCCACATCCGTATGGCGCAATCGGGGAGGCACGCCCGGCAGATAGACTGCCCATCAACACCGGCCCCCGGCCAGACGCGCTGTTGAAGCAGAAGAAAACCAAGAAGCGGATGGTGTAGGCACCTCTCCCGCCTACCAGCGCGACCAAGGTCGAGTGAGTCCAAAGAGAAGGTTGCCGAACCCAAACCAGTCTATATTATTAGTATATAGCTGCTGCCTGTCACGATGGCGCAGAAGAGATCTCGAGCATATCATGACGGATCAACCCCTGCCACGGAAGACCTCAGCATAGTATGTCCCTCCCTACGGCGATGATGCCAACGCAGATCAGCCCATCGACTGACCGTCGTAGCATGAGGAGGAGAAGAACAGAAAAGAGGACAACGATGAAGGCGATGAAGAAGACGATGCCCTCCCGACAGAAAGTCCAAAATACCTCCTCCCAGTGCCGTCTGATACGGCTCAGTGTTGGGGAACCCGGTTCCTTGCGAAACCTGCCGACGAGGCCGCCGTCGCTGTATATACATCGGCCAAGACAACCGACCCTTCCCCACCCAGGGCGGTTCAGAACCAACGCTCAGATATCTCACCTTGGAGGAGCACCAGGGGTCGCCAAGCGGGGAGAGCCGGTCATTCCGTTTCACTTCTTAAACGCGCCGATTTACTTCCCAATGCGCCAAGCTGTGCCCTACGCATGCCGAAATCTTCACCAGCTCGTCATATCCCTCCTCCATGTCCATCTCTCTTAGACCACGTGCTGTCTGTCGGATAGCCAGGATTGGGCGCGATGCATAAACCGATCAACTGCACGGCCTGGGCTGGCTCGAGAAAGAGATGATGTAGAAGGGGGGGAAGTTTGGGAAGACCATCTGAGCCGAGAAGATCGCGGGATCAGATCGACCGATCGACCACGAACGAGGTGGCATGCCAACCACAGAGATGACCTCGCCTAGAGGACGTATTTGACATAGAGTACGAAAAGGATAGTTTCGAGGGAGAGCATCGCGTCTGTATAATGACCCGATCACTGTAACTACTGCAGCAGATGAGGCGGAGACGAGGGTCGAGACACTAGCCCGGAGTGTACAGATTGGAATTTCTTTACAATCCGATTCCTTAAAATTCCGAGTCCTTTACATTCCGATTCTCCTCCTTTGTCGAGTCTATTCTCTGTGGCATGGAGGTGCTGTATTTACCACCGTGCGCAAGGGCATTTCAGTACTTCCATACCGCTGCCCGCCCTAATTTAATCCAACCCAGGTACATAAGTGCCGTTGCTGAGCCACTGCCCCGGAGCTGTAAAGTCGGCGTACCACTCCCCTCCCAGCTCCAGGTGGTTGACGTATCCGAACCTGAAGAACTCGGGCTCACTGTCCACCAAGCGCGTCCAGTTGAACGACATGTCATCCGGCTCGAAGGCCACAAAGCGCTGGACATCGTTGACGAGGACGCTGATTCCGTCAAACGATGCGACGACGTCTTCGAAAGTGAATCTGATGCGATTGCCAGAGACGATCGGTGGATGGACCTGCGGGAGGACACTCCCCAGTTCGCCATCCTGGAGCAGTTGGCCCGGTGTTTGTAGGATGCTGTCAAACCCCCACCGCGCAATGCCGTTGATGAACAACCCGACGAGAATCCCCTGGTACAGCAAGCTCGGTCGGGTCTGGAGCGATGTGCCTGGGAGCAGGATCAGGGCGAGGATGTAATGATGTATCCGGAGGTTGGTGCCGGGGACGAGAATGAGGGCGACAAGGAATGCGGCGACGATGGCGTAGAAAAGCAGATAGCGCGGCATGCCGCCTTCGACCCTGAAGCACCAAGCCTGTCCGACCGCTATGACTAGCAGAACGCCGATGATCGAGAGGAGAGCAGCGATAGCCCCAGGTTGTTGTTTGAGGTCATGTGGAGTCAATCGAGAGATTGGTATCCGGTCAAATGTTACGTTGTTTAGAGCCCCGAGCCAGCACCCACCGAGCCATAGCACGGTCCTTTCGATAGGAGCTTTCAGGTCGTACAGTGTTCGGTGGATGCAGTACTTGTAGATGACATGAGCGACGAATGCAGCCGGGAGGAAACGCCTAAATGCCAATGAGATGAGGTCGGAATAGTCGTGATAGTATGGAGGATCCGATATCAACGCCACGTGAAAAAAAATCCCCACGAAGACAGACCAGAATAGCGTCGTCGGCGACGTAACAAAGACCGCAAGCAGAGACGTTAAGATGATCGAGAAGCACAGATACGTCCACCGGGAATCTGTGTACGAGAAGGTGTCTGGCCCTGGGGCTCCGAAGCTGAAAGATAGAGGAAAGTTGGATGGAAATCCAATGCTGGAAACGCCGTGGGCACTGGTACTTGGGTAATCGGATCGTTGTCCTGTCCGTGACAACAGTCCGCTGCCACCTTTGGCATTGGTCACCAGCCCAGCATGGATGGCCGCCGGACAGATGAATGAATCTCCACGATAGATCGCCGTGGTCGGGATCCCGGTGTCCTTTGGCCCTCCGATAACAAAAGTCCGGTAGTTGACTTCTTGAGCTCCAACGTAGTGAGGTTCGAGGATCTTGACGTCGGCACAGCCAGCTGGACAAGTGAATGTGAAGGTGCCATGATCGAAGGGACGGCAGTCGCCGCCGTCCAAGCCACAATTGGTGCTATTCGACCTGCCAGCAGTCAGCAATATTTCTATCGCTCGCAGTGGAGGACGAGGACGTACCAGAGCCGAGATGTACAGCTTAGTCGAGCTGGTCGGCCTGAGTCATTACTGCCTGCCACCGGCATTGGAAGAGCGAGAATGAACATCCCGGCCCATATTGCATACAATAACAGCAGAAGGCACAGCTTGAGCCCTCCACTCGGACAACACTTCTCAAGCAGCCGGTCGCACACGGCTTGAAGCCATTCTGAAGATTGGATCCGATATATCCGAGGAGGATTGGGTCCTTTCAACCAGCGCAGAACAGCTTGAAAGGCGGACTTGGCCGGTAGCAGGCGGCTTCCGCTCCGCCATGAGATGCGACGGCCACTCAACAAAGGCTGATCTCCTCGACCTGAGGCAACCAGATCAGCTCCTTCTTCCTCATCGTACTGTCCAGCCCCGGCGGGTGTCAGGAGAGCCTCATAGCTTGGTGCGGCCAGTGCGGTGTCTGCTACCATGGGCTCCAACGGGTAGTCTTCATGTTCATAAGTGCGAAGGGAGTATTGAGAGTTAGACTGTGGTGGCCGGGGCAATGGTGACAGATTGGCAGCCCCATTCCGCATAGTCTCTGCCCACCAATGCGTGCTTTATGCCCTTGCATCTGGTCGATCGAGTCAAGACCATCTAATAGCAGGAGGCCTAGAAGGTACGTCAAACTAGTTCTGGAACGCTTTCTCGCAGGTATACAGCTCGTAGGAGGAGAACAGAAGGTACTGTAGGGTAGAAACTAGGAAGCACTATGCAGAAGTTCAAGGGCCGCCTCGGCACAACAGGGTAAGCATGAGCCCGGGTGGAGTGAAGTTACAGCATGTGTCGGCCGAAATGTCACTCTTGGGGCGTAATTAAGGCTGCCCGAGATCCCAATTCTAAGATGTCTAGTCACCTCCAAGTCTAGTCAGAAATACCCATGTTGCCGGACCGCCATCTAGTTGTCATCGTAGCATGCTGTGACCTTTTTCGCAACCTCCTCTGTAGTGGAACTCCATCGTAATCTAGCGTTCGTTCATAACTCCTGTTCCGAGTAACGACTCCGTTCCCGCCACTGGGAACCATAACGATAAATCAACACTGGAATGGGCGCTGTACATAGACTCAGTACACACAGAGCAGTGAACCCCCAACCGTAGCCGAACTCCTTGACCAACGGATCGACCCCGAGCGGCAAGAAGGTCCCCATCAGACATCTTGTAACTATCAACGCTGTCATGGCACTTGCGGAATACAGCTTGAAGGCGTCGACCACATAAGCCATCAGTGGAAGGAATGCGAGCATCATGGTAGATCCGAGCAGGCCGAGATTGATGAGCAGAACAGGGAGCGGAAGCCGCAGTTGGGCGGCCCAACCGTACAGGGCGACGACGAGCGGTGCAGTAAAGGCGCCAACGATGGCCAGGGGAAGACGATATTCGGGCTGTCCCCTCCCGTTACTCAAGCTGTGGTTATCGCGTAGACGAATGTAGATCTTGTCGAGCAGGTTGTTGAGGGCGATGACAGCAATGACGGATCCAACACCTGTAAGTGTTTGTTAGCCAGCTTCAAGCGCGACAGAGATGTCATCCACTCACTGAAGGCGATGAATGCAGAACCAGTACGTGCTGGGGAAAGTCCATATAGTCCTTCCAAGATATCCGGTAACGTGGTCGACATGACATAGAAATACGCAAACTCCAAAGACCCAAACAAGGACATGGCCTGTAACACCCCGGAGTCGAAGAAGACGACAAAGGGACGCAACACTGCGTCCAGAAGCTTCCTTGAGCCCTTGTCTTCGGCTTCGGGGTTGTTGGCGGCGAATGCAGTCCGTAAGGCAGTGTTGCCCGTCTCCTTTGTCAACCTAGCGACTCTACGGTTGAGAATCGCCACCTTGAAGGTCTCCCGGAAACAGGTAAAGAAAACCACTTCGCAGGCGCTTGCCAAGGTAATAGCCATCCACAACACTTGCCGCCATCCTAGGCTCTCGGCGATGGCTCCGGCGATAGCAGGGCCGACTGCGCCTCCAAGCAAGGGTGCCAGCATAATGGCACTCATCGCAGACCCCCGTTCTTCTTCGATGAACATGTCCCCCACAATGGCTGGATTGAGCACATTCGAAGCAACCGCCAACCCCGTAAGAGCTCTGGCGGCAATGAACAGCGGTGTGCTTCGGCACAGCGCGGCCAAAACAGTGGCCGAGATGAACAGCACATTAGCAACATTGAACACAGGGTACCTTCCGACAGCCTCTGACAGCGGTGCAAGCACAAGCGGTCCGAATGCTTCACCAAGTTCCCAGATTGTCACAAGCAGAACACTAGCTGATTTGCTGGTTGTGCCGTCAAGATCGTAAATGATGTGGTTGGCCACAGGCACGACCGAGATACATGTGAACGTCCTAGAAAGGACATTAGCTGCCACCCACGGGAAGAGCATATACAGTACCAGACTACATACACCGTGAAGGCCATAAAGGCCAGCAGAGCAACAATGCTCCATTTATAGGCCTTGGGCCAGTCTCGAGGGTTCTCTGAATCGCCCGTGGGATCGAAGTCGACAATGTCGTCTCCATGGGCCCCTTTCAGGGACCCGTCCTCGGCCCTCTCAGCATCTCGCAATAAAGGTCGAGTCTCTTCCGTTGTCATGTCGTGTGGTTGGTAATATGATTGTTGCCACCAAGTCTTCGGGATGTGTCGACGCTGCCAGAAGCATTGACTCGGGCGACCCTGCTCAGCATGGAACCAAGTAGTCTGGTCAGTGTTGAAGAAGAAATTTTAGCTCAGTCATAATCCGGCGGAGGCAAAAACCACGGATATCTATGAAGACGATGTTCAGTACGCATCGTACGAGACGTGAGCCCTCTCATTGGCGGTGGGACTTATTCCTCCAGAGATTTGTAACCCAATCGACTTGTACTGGAAAGGCGCGTGAGGGGCTTGATTTAAACCAACCTGAGTCGTCGAAGCGTTCCACCAACTTACCGCATCTTCAAGGGGTCGATCGAGGCCCGCCAAACTGGGACATCATGGGGAAGAGCGTATGGCAAGATGAAGTGTCAAGCTGCTTTCTCGCAGCTGCTGCCTGGAGCTGAAGTACCTTTTCGAGTGCGGGATCCTACTTCCGTTCATCTAAGGGTCATGCGAGTTGTGTCTAGGCAGCTACAGAACAGACGCATGGTTTGACGCATGGTGCATCCTAACAAGAGCCTTCGCAGCGGCATTGATATATCTTTACTTGCCCTCATCCCAGACTTACCTCCAGGGCATCGATGACGCCGAGGCAATGCGCTGGTAAACCGGCCATTGGACTCGTGGGTCACTTGCAATTGCCAGCAGTTACGAGTCCGTCCTGACCCTGGGAGGCTGAACCCTGATAATTGGCATACTCCGTGCTCAGTAGCTTTTCGATTCTCCTTTATCATCGCGGACATAGCTAGGTGCATAGGAACACCGACGACCGCTTAGTCAGTAACGAGAAGGATGCTGGTGGACGCCTGGGACAAACGCAGAGATGCGTCATTGGGATGTCATGTTGGCGATGTCGCCCACCGTGATGCCAAGCCCGGAGAGTTTACTCGAGAATATTCCCCCTCGATATGCGTGAAGCGCCAGATTCATGCCACGCTGCGACTTCAATAATTGTGCTCAGCAACTGATATCGTGGAGACATGCACCAAGTACTCGTCGCTAAGTGACAGAGGCACTCATTCACTACATTATCACGAGGAACAAGGCTGCCCGGCGTGATGGATTAATACCGGAAGCACGTGCTTCCACTTTCGTCAAATCCAAATGCGGTGACTATCATTTTGTCCCAGTGTTCCTGAAGTCATAGCGCGGTGGGTGAGGAACACTGGCATTACCTGATGGATGAACAGGTAACGGTCCTCCCTCGCTGCGGTCAGGTACTCGGCTGACACGTCCGCGCAGATAATCTCGGCGATTGAGATCGCATACGATCCCGCTGCCGACCCGACCCTCAAGCGACAGGCGTTCGAATATGTGAACCAGTTGAGGCAGGAGCCCTCAGCATGGCAGCCATGCCTGGCCATCTCTCTACAAGTGCCCCGTCAAGCCATGGTCATTCGTGTCTTTTGTCTGGAGATTGTCAACAACGCGGTACAAGGTGGCCTGGTTGACCAGGCCGGGTTGAAGACCATCAAAGATCAGCTAGTAGCATATCTGCAAAAGTTCTATGGGACAGCCGGCCAGACCGACACACCAGATCCAGGCACCATCGTCAACAAGTTTGCTCAAACTGTGACATACCTCTTTTCGGCCTTCTATGGCTCTGGCTGGGAGACCTACTTCGATGATCTGCTGGCGTTGACCTCCGCCGGCACCGGTACCAAGGACAACTACCCTGGGCTGATCTTCTACCTCACAGTTCTCAATTCTATCCACGACGAGATTGGCGATCAACTGGTGTCGAGGTCCCGAGCCGAGCAGGACAGAGCGAACACGTTGAAAGACCTGATCCGAGCACGAGACGTCGAGAAGATTGCACGGTCATGGCAAGACATCCTCTCGCATTGGAGGACGTCGAGTGACGTCGTGGCTGAACTGTGCTTGAAGGCTATTGCAAAATGGGTCAGCTGGGTCGACATCTCGTTCGTCGTCAACCAGTCAATGCTCGAACTACTATTCCAGCAACTGGAACGGGCACAGAAGGTCGATCCTCGAGAAAGCGAAGAGCAAGCAAGGGATGCCGCCATCGACGTCTTTACCGAGACCGTTGCCAAGAAGATGCCTGCCGCAGACAAGGTCAACATGATCACCTTCCTCAATCTGGAAACCGTGGTCTCTCAACTCGTGACGTGTCCACCCCTAAGAGACAGTCGCGCATCAAACTATGACGTCGATCTTGCTGAGACGGTGGCAAAGTTGGTCAACACCACAGTCGTGGACATTGTGAGGATCTTGGAGACTGAGAACCAGAGCTCGCCAACTTGGGGGAAAGCAGAACAGCTATTGGCGTCGTTCCTACCACATCTCCTCAGGTTCTTCTCCGACTTGTTTGACGAGGTCTGTTCAACTGTGCTCAACGCCATGAACGATGTTCTTGCATTTTTAAGGCGTGCTAGTCAGGGCGATGCGGCATCATCTCAGAGAGCAGCAATGCTCCTCCCAATTATCAAAGCGATATTTGTCAAAATGAGGTACGACAACACTTCAGATTGGAATCAAGAGGACGAGCAGACCGACGAGGCAGAGTTTCAAGATCTGAGAAAGAGGCTGGCAGCGTTACAGTCAGCAATTGCAGCAGCGGATGAACAGCTCTACATTGAGGCAATTTCAGGCCTTGTGCATGACACGTTCGAGCGCCTCAGATCAGAAGGCTCACAGCTGAATTGGCGAGATCTGGACCTTGCGTTGCACGAGGTCTACCTCATGGGTGATCTGGCTGTAAGGGCAGGTGGATTGTACAACAAGAACAAGCCAAACTCGCCGGCAGCGGAAAAGCTGGTTCGAATGATGCTGGAAATGGTTCAATCAAGTAAGTGGGAATGGTTACCTTTCCTCGTGGTGTTGCTCACAACAGCCAGATACTGGCTCTTTCGGCCATCCAGCAATCCAGCTACAGTACATGG